TCTATCTCACTGTCCATACCATAACTGACTATTTAGGTCAGCTAATGTTTGAAACATTTGCCATCATGGATATATTTTTTTAGTTTGTATTTGACCTATATGTTTTCCATTATCAGCAGCTTTTCAATTTTCAAGTCTCTGATCTGTCCCAGTGCCTCCAGCTACAAACAGGTTGTTTAGGTTGTTGTAGGTTTTTTCAGGTTGTTCAGGTTGTTGTAGGTTTTTTCATGCTATATGGCCATGTTCTAGAAGCATTCTCTCCTGACGTTTCACCTGCATCTATGGCAAGCATCCTCTGAGGATACTTGCCATAGATGCAGGCAAAATGTCAGGAGAGACTGCCTCTAAAACATGGCCATATAACCCGAAAAAACCTACAATAACCCAGTGATTCCGGCAATGAAAGCCTTGACAATACATTGAACATCTTTACTTTCTATGAACCCATATCTCACCATTCCTTTTTCACTTTTCTACAAGTTAGCGTTTGAAGGTTATTGGTGACATAAATGTGAAGGTTATGGGTGATTTAAATTTGTAAAATGGGCAAGCATGCTCATCCTCAGCTGTTTCAACTGTGGTTCCAGATAGTAATTTGGATGTGTTGGATGAGGGTCACACTCCCCCTGAAGACTCAGGTTCGCAGCTTGGGAGTGATCCTGTACTCATTGCTGAGCCTGGAACCCCAGGTTTTAGCAGTGGCCAGGGGAGCTTTTGCACAGTTAAAACTAGTGCGCCAGTCCACACCCTTGTTACATCCCAAATAGATTACTGCAATGCACTCTATGTGGGGTTGCCTTTGAAGACTGTGAAACTCCAACTAGTCCAGTGGGCAGCAGCCAGATTACTAACTGGAGCGACATAAAGGGAGCATACCACTCCACTGTTGTGTCAGCTCCACTGGCTGCCAGTCCATTTCCGAGCACAATTCAAAGTGCTGGTCTTGACCTATAAAGCCCTATACGGTTCTGGCCCAGCTTACTTGTCCAAATGTATCTCACTCTACATCCTGCCTCAGATTTAAGATTGCCCAGGGAGGCCCTGCTCTCAGTCCTGTCTTCTTCGCAAACGGGTTTGGTAGGGATGAGAGACAGGGCCTTCTCAGTGGTGGCCCCCCGCCTTTGGAACACCCTCCCCAGTGAAATTAGGTCAGCTCCATCCCTCCTTTCCTTCAGGAAGAAGTTTAAATCATGGTTCTGGGACCAGGCATTTGGGGAGAAGGCTTGATAGCGATTGCAATGTTTATGTGATTGACAATGGACAGGCTTTAACAAAGTCTTTGGACGCTGAATTGAATTGAAGAGGGCTACATGGCTGATAATAATGTTTTTAAATGGATTTTTAACTTTATGGTTTTTATTTAATGTGTAATGTTGTAATATATTGTGTATGTATTTTGCATTTATTGGCATCGAATTGTTGGCAATGTAAGCCGCCCTGAGTCCCCCTCCAGGGGTAGAGAAGGACAGGGTACAAATGTTGGAAATAAATAAATAAATTCTGCAGCTGCACCTATGGGTTCTATACCTGCAGAGACTTTTGTTCGTAACATTCTAGATGTGAAAGTTCTGCTAGGAAACACAGACTCCTCCACTTTGCACATTCCGTGATGTAGCTCTCACTATCACGAACATACTGTAAGAAAAACTAGGAGTCGGAGCACAACACTCTTCCTATCTATAGCAAGAGGAATTGTAGGTTGTATGACCATGGAATCAGTTACCAGTAAGGAAGTTGTCCTTCATTGTGGCATCTGCATCACACACTCAGATGTGCCACGTGTCCTTATAGTCTTAATGTGTAGGAGGCAAGGAGGTACATCCTACCAGTTCTAGAGAGGATTGCACTGTCCATTGTCACATTGTCTCTAGCTTACATATCCATGTGGTGTTGGTGGACAAAGCTGACAAACTTAACCAGGTGTAATCTCTATAGACCTTTGTCCTGGGGGCCTTTTTAGATAACCTTGAACAAAGCAATAACTATAGTATAATGGCAGCAAAGATGTTTAGGAAGGAGACAGTTGCCCGTTTTGTAACTGAATGATATAGACTCTATGATCTAGATAGCAAAATGCATAGAGGAGAGAGGTGTCTTTTTTTTGTACCTAGATGGAAGACGAGATAGAAATGCATCCACAAAGAAACAAAGAGACACAGCCTGGCCATGAATCCTATGTGTGTGGGAGGTTAGCCTATGGACAAGAAAGAATAACAAGCAGTAGCTTGTAGCTGTGGGACATTATTCTCCAAGCCTGCATGCGTAGCAAGAGCTCTCATGGATGGAGAAGGAATATGAGTTGGCACTTGAGTGCTGTGCCATCTTGTGGTTTCACCACTGAACAAGTTTGCAGTTGCACAATATACCACTTCTGGATTTTCCAAGTACACAAGTGCTGTATCTCAAAGCACATCTATATATATATTTCCCAGCCTTCTGCCCACTGGTGTATTCTGCAAGATGGCAGTGTATTTATGAGTGCCAATCCTTGGTTGGGGCTAGGGAGCTTGCAGAAGCTGAACCTTCTGCAAAAAAATAAATAGAATAAAATAAAAAATAAAAAAGGAAGGAAGAGAAAAAGAAGAAAATAAACTAGTAAAATAGTAAGGAAATGTTTATGCAGCAAGAATATCCATATGGTAAATAACCTGCAAAACTGTACAGTTACTTGGACTTTTTAAAGGAAACAAACAGTGAAAGTGAGAAGTTATAGCTATGTCGTCAAAAGTGAGTCCTCCACTTAATTATTGCTATAGTTTAAATAACATGCTAGTTGGGACATGGAAACATGCTTTAGTTCCATACTTTTCAGAAGTGTGATACATTAAGAAGTGTGATACATTCCTTATTAGGAAATACAGACTTTTATCCTCTGCACCTAGACTGTGGAATGATCTGCCAGAAGAGATCTGATAGCTAAATGAGCTGTCAAAATTTAAGAGACGACTCTTAGAAGGCCTACCCAATTTTAAAATGTAAATTTTAAATCTACATTCTATTAGTGTTGTATTTAAATATGTGTACTATATATTTTAATATATATTTTACAGTAATGCTTTATCTGAGTATTTTAACTGTGTTGTACGCCACCTCGAGCCAAGAGGTGGAATAACAACAACAATCCTAAAGCTGGAAGACACCACAAGTCATACATTCCAATTCCCTGCCATGCAGGAACAATCAAAGCATTCCTAACAGATAACCCACCTAACTTATGCTTATAAACCTCCAGAAAAGGAGACTCCACCAATCTCTCAAGCAGCACATTCCACAATAGCATTTCTTGAAAGGGATGTACTACTAGCACATTATAGTCTACAATAAAGAGAAAAAAAGAAAACGATGAGTCTGTCGTAATAAAGCACTGTGTCTACACCTTATTAATGTGCCTTCAGTAGTTGGTTATTGTGGCATACAGTATTTTTTGTGCCTCTTGAACCATGACAACCATGACCCCAGCTTTATACCAGACGCAATCAATGTTTTACTCTATATTTGTAAGACTGAATTGTGAGCCAATAGCAAACACTAATCCCCATGGTAAAGGCCAGCAAGGTGCTTTTCATCACGCAGGCCCCTTCCACACAGCCGAATAAAATCCCACATTATCTGCTTTGAACTGGGTTATATGGCAGTGTGGACTCAGATAACCCAGTTCAAAGCAGATATTGTGGATTATCTGCCTTGATATTCTGGGTTATATGTCTGCGTGGAAGGGCCCACAGATTGTTATAAAAAGTTCTGATGAGAGTTTTCTAAAGGCAGTGCGCTACTGTTGCAAATCTGTGAGATCTCAAGGGGCAAGAGTTCCTTTGATACTTCTTGACATTTCCGCATAAACGACATGCATAAAAACAATGAAAAAACACTTTTTCACAATTAAGACTCAAGGCAATCTCCTGATTTTGAACAGGACTTGATTTTAAAATGAAGACAATAATTGATTAAAACATAAAATAAAAATATTAAGTTTAAATATAAAAAGCTCATAATCTGTCTTTTCCTTATTTATCCTCATTAGAAAAGCCCTGATGCCTACCATCTTAGATGCTTGAACATAATAGTTTTCATTAGCTTTGTGTGTTCGGTTGTTCAAAGAAAAATGTCAAATAAGTAAATGTGCAGCTGGCATTCTTAAAATAGATTATTCTAAATGTCCATGCATTCATTCAGCTACTTCAGAGACTAAAAAAAGAAATACAACTTCAAAAAGCTGTAATTTACTATAATAGACATACATTGTTTCTCCTTAAACAAAATTTGAAAAATAATGCAACACACACACATTTAGCATTGTTCTGTAATGTTTCTATGCTTTCATCATTTATTTCAATTCTTTACCAGCTATTCCAGTAATTTGGACTCTTTGTGGCCCAAATGAGACATGCTGTGAAAGCTATGGGCTGTTTCTTTAAATACATCAAACTAAAAGACTACATTCAGTGTTTTGGAAAATGTTTCAATCCAATGCCTGGTCATTCAATGCCATGCAGTGGGTGGGGGAAATACAGAGATTATGTAGTCCCTTGGTCCTGAGAGTGTCATGAAATACCACCGTAATGGGTCTCGTCCCAGTACGTATGGCATTATCCAATAAAGCTGATTTCCAGAAAGGGTTGATATAAATATACACTTTCCTTATGAAAGATCCAGTTTACCTTATGGTTTCTTCACAAGTTATTATGGGAGCCATACATTTCATACATTTGAAGAAAATCATATCACTAAATGGAGATAGGACCTACAAGAATTAGCTACGAATGTCAAATGCTACCTTGAATGTAAAAACCAGATGTTGGGGGCGGGGGGGGGGCACTTAATACACAACACCATACTCTGTTTCCAAGCTTTTCAAATGTATTTTGCTGACCATGTTTCGAAAATGGATGTTGCCACTCATGGGACCTATGGGCTGATCGTAAAATACAATATTGCAGTGACGTAATGTGTGCCAAATGTCCTTATTCAAGATTATGGGAAAAAAACTACATACACATATATGGCCTTGAAAATTTATTAAAAATCAAAGAATACAAAACTTCACATAAAAATATTTTAGCTTCCCACATTGTTATACAGACAGAAAGAATAACATGATATTTTAATCAGCTATCCACAGCGGCAGAGAACATAACCAGAGTGGTAGCCAGTGCAATTTATTGGTTCACCATGACTGAAATGGAACATGATATCTGCTTCTCTTAAGCCTATCCTGCTTTTAAACTGACACTATTTAGGAAACCAAGGCTCCCATAATGTAGGTTCATAATCAATATTGCTAGCATGTAAAAGTGTAATATGAGTCAATAATCAGCCCTTGAATACTGGTTTTATTCAAGTTTAAATCCCTTTATTGTACCAACATCTCTCCAAAACCTTTCACAAGGTTCTAAAAAAATGGTCAATCCAAAGTTACAGATCCAGTGTCAGGAGAGGCTGAAATTTTGGCAATTCAAAACCCAAAAGGTTGTTTATGTATCATTTATAATATAATTATTTGCCTGGAGACGCATTTACAACAATTAGGGCCAGGATCTCATGAAGCTTGTGCACTTCAGCTTGTGCAGTGGGAGCAGACAGCATGTTCTGTTGGCACCCCTTTGCACGGCTTCAAATGCTGCTTAAAAACAAAAATTCCTCCAGAAAAAGGTGGGTTGAGAAGCCCTAGTGATATGACAGGATTCTGGCCCCAGTAGCCAAGTATTATCGCCACAGGATGTATTATATTATCGTGTATGATTGACCACCAGGAGCACTAACTGTTCATCTCCAGCTGCAGGCTGCCCAATTGTCACAATGTTCATTTTCAAGCCTCTGCCTTGTTTGTTTGCCGTGCCTTTGACAAACGAAAGGCGTCTTCCAACAGACACTGATTCAGTATGTCATATACTGTATGCCTATCTTTCTGAGTAACATCCAGTTAATATGGAGATGACTATTCATTAATAATAGGTCAAGAATCTACAGACTTCTGATTGTGATTAACTCAGGATCAAGATGAACTGCATACAAAATGTGTGCTACTCTGCTTTGGAATGTCGCTCTCTTCACAATCCAGAGGCCTAGCATTATTTTTGATATCTTTCTTCAATATATGCCATTTATTTCCAAGGCATACCTGCAGATATTAAAACCTACTATTACTATTCCTTGTCACACATTCAAATATCAGTTTTAAGAATATTTGCACCCATTCAGACGTTTCTTTATAAACTCCCTGTTCAGGCAAAAGGTACTAACATAGTGCACTGGAGAATTAACACTGTTTTAAAAAAAGCATGAAAAGATGCAGCCACTGAAAATTAGAATACGGCACTCTTCAAAACAGAGGGCTATGCAAGTTGTACATGTTCTTACTTTTAAAAAGTTAACAGAGGTTGTCATGGCAAGACACACTTGCATAGTATAGCTGTATACATCTCAAATCAACTGCCTGTCACATAAATATTGGTCTAAATCCAATGTTGCAATAAAGCAGGGGTTCTCAACCTGTAAGTCCCCAGATATTTTGGCCTTCAACTTCCAGAAATCCTAACAGCTGGTAAACTGGCTAGAATTTCTGGGAATTATAGGCTAAAACACCTGGGAACTCACAGGTTGAGAACTACTGCACTAAAAGTGTGGTGGAACTTTCTCCTCCTATCCTCTCTATAGTTGCTCATGTTGCCCCCCAAATCTGCTCTACAAGATTTCCTGCTAAGTTAGGGTACACTTTGTGAAAATGCAACACGCTAAATAGGAGACAGGAAAGAAGCATTTGCCCTCACCCCAGTTTTGCTGATGAATTAATCCTATCAGTGCAATAACCTGAAGGATTCTGGTCAATCTTTGATAAACACACCAATAAAATTCTCAGAGAAGCCAGAAGGTACATTTTAGGTAGTTGCTTTTAACAGAACTAATGTATGCTGCCAATCAGATTCCTCAATGGAATCAATATACATTCCTTTCTCCACATTCCTTAAGTTGGATATTTTATCCAGAAACAACGCTTGGACCCAACCAATCAGAGGTAAGTAAAACTGATCAACAAAATTGGTAGTGTGTAATTTAGAAATCGGACTTAGCTATTTTTATCCTAAATGGCTGGATTTTTTTATGCCAATCTCTATCCAGGTTGTAAGGATGAATAAAGATGAACTGAATTATCTCATATTCTCCTGCATGATTCCTACTGAAACAAATATGAGCAATGCAGGAGGACTGGATTGTATTGAAACACATTAACTAGTGTTGAGTTAGTGTCACATGCCAGACTAGTGAGCTAATTGGAAAGGTAAAAAAAATCTTGTAGCTCAATATATTTTATAAACATTTAAACCAGATCGCAGTCAATCTGCAAATTAAGGAGCTTCGAATAGTAATTAGTGTTATGAGCTCGACCTTTTGTTCACACAATCTATCAGAACACTGAACCCAACTTAAAAAAATAGAACGAGGAAAGAATCTGCAAATGAAAAAAGGTATCTTTCATCCCTTAAATATAACTTATATGAAAAAATGCTTCAAACCTTTTCAGTTATTGCACACAAGTTATGTTTGATAGGAGTAAGGTAACAAAAATATTTCGAACCAAAAATGGGAAGGCAGTTGGCAAAGTCACAAAAAAATTGCAATAACAGAAAATAAAATCCAAACCATCCATTACTTCTCTGACAGAACAAAACAATCTCCAATGAACAAATATACAGCTACAGGAAATTACTGCAGCATTTATGGTCCTCCCAATATTCCTTCCAGAGCTGCTTCGGCACTGTAGTAATTCATGGATAGGCAGAAGACAAACTTCCACATTGAATAAGGCTTCACAGATAAGCACAATTATTTCTTTTAAGATGGACTCAACCACCACACAAAGAAACATGCAAAGATTGGATGCAGATATTTGGCAACATCCACAAACTGATGCGCTCAGTGATGGTGTCAAATTCCCTAGGACGACTGTCCCACACACACTGCAGGAGTCAGAAGTGGACACCCGGAAGCTGGCCATTATCTGCTAAGGCTGATAGGCAAACTGTCTCTATACTTCTTTCTTCTCCAGATATTACGGCTATGTGGATGATGTCCTCTATTGCCAACTGGCTGCCTCACAGCTCCATTGCTGGCAGAATTGTATCCATTGCCTTGATTATGATTGTGAGGTCCTTTCACAGTAAATTTAATTCCATTGTGCTGCTGGGGACATAGGAAGAATTTAAGATTACTGTCAGCTAAATTATAGATTTACCAGATCATTTCATTAATTCCACCTTCTCATAATTCATAGGGACATATATACACAAAGTGGCAAGGACATTACACATTCAGACACTGTGAAGCAAAAATAAAATTTTAAGAGAATCCCAGTCATGCGAATCTTCTTATTTATTTTTTTTATGTCAGGTGCAACTTGAGAAACTGCAAGTCACTTCTGGCAGTCTGCAAGGACATTGTCTAGGGGATGCCCAAATGTTTTACCATCCTATGGGAGGCTTCTCTCATATCCCCACATGAGATGCTGGAGCTGGCAGACGGGAGCTCATCCAGCTCCCTGGATTCGAACCATCAACCTTTCGGTCAGCAGTCCTGCCGGCACAAGGGTTTAACTCACTGTGCTACTAGGGGCTCCAGCTTCTAAAAATCTTCATCTAAAATAACTTATCACTCTTTTCTGGAATCATTTGCAGAAGCCATTAGGGATCTTCTAAATTAAAACCCCTAATGGCTCCATGCAAACGATTCCCGGAAAGAGTGACAAGTGAGGAACCCCACCTCTTGGTCTTCCCACCATTAACTGTTGCTTTGGAAAGATCCAAGACACAGGCATGGATTCATCTTCCAACTAAATCATAGAACCATAGAGTTGGAAGAGGCCACACGGGCCATCCAGTCCAATTCCCTGCCATGCCAGAAAAGCACAATCAAAGTAGCTCCAACAGATGGTCATCTAGCCTCTGATTAAAAACTTACAAAAAGGACCTCCACCACTTGATTCTCTCATCTCCACACATAGTGATTTTCTGCTACATGCCCTGAAGGAAGGATCCTGGAAACCTTGTAACAAACTTGTCAATACACTTCTCTGTTACTTGTAAATTGCCATAAAAAGATTTGTATCCAGAAAAGATTTAAGTAACGGTAATAAATAAGGAATGTTGCTGCTAACCACAATTTTCACTACTCATTTACTGGACAAATTCTGTAATGTAGTAAATACCTGATAATTGAGTTGGCATAATCTATTAATAAATACCTGATAATTAGTCGCCATAATCAATGTTCTTGCAGGCACAGGCTGGTTTTTACCATTTGGCACAGACAATGCTGGGGGCAAACCAGCTGTAAGCTGAGATGGTGCTTGTAGATTGAAGTGGTAGATATTAGGAGTTGTGCAAGGTGGAGTATCTGAATCCTAGCAACATAGAAAAATATGGAATGGAAAATTGGTTTTTAAACAAAGGAAATACATGATAACTACCCCAACCCCACACACAGAACAACACTCTGCAAATTAGAAATCTGCAAAAATGGTGTCAAAAGAGGTTTCTCAATCCTCTTTCAAAATTTTTTATCTAATTTTATTAAAAAATATTTTAAAAGTTACATTAAAAGTTTTAAAAGAAATTAAGATAAGAAATATAGAATAGGACCACAAAAAGTGTCATGAAAGAGAAAGAAAACAGAAAGAAACACAGAAAGACAGAATAGAAAAGAACAAAGAAGAACATAGGCATTGCCCTTGGGTTTCTTAGTGCTGACTCTCTTTTTTGAGCAAAAACACTTTTCAAATTAGCCTGCAAAACTTAAAATTGGTAAATCCATTTCTTCTTCATGCAAAAAGTCAATAAAAGTTTTCTAATATTCAAATGCTTTTCCAATGTCCCCTTTTAAAATAAACAGATTAATTTGTAAATCTCAGCCAAGTCCATCATTTTTATTGTCCAATCTTCTGTTAGTGCTGCAGAGTTCTTCCATTTCTGCGCATAAAGTAGTTACTGGGATCATGTATTGTGATACATGATTTTTCAAAGTCTTAAGAGGTGAAGCTTTCTCCATATAAAAAAGTTGGAAATGGCACACAGTAATCTATCTGAGCTGCCCTTTAGCATCAGGGACACTTGTGTGATAAAGGAAGACATGCTTGGAAAAAACAAAATATACCTTATTTCCTCTCCTCACATAATAGTCATACATTTTATCCCTGTTTTGATGAAATAAAAATGGTTTAATATTGACTTGAGCCAAGAGTCATTGATCTGTTAATTTTTTCTCTTCCCCTTGCTCTGAAAAGAAGTGATGCTGCTAACAGAACAGTTTTGGAGACAGGCTCCTCACCCGTTGGTCTCCTCTTTTTCTCCAAAGGCAAACACATGGCTCTGCCATGTTTAATTCAGTAACTTTCCCATTCTGTAAGGCATCTCCATTTAATGATACCAACCTCAATTTTCTATATTTAATTTTTAATGCAAAGGTAAGTTTGGTATAGAGAAATTAGAAATCTTGTGTAGCTGGCCAGGCATGAAACAAAAACTAGTGTGAGAAATACTATGATCAATGTTTTCAACAGAATTAGAACTTTTAGACTTCTGCTTTGGGATGCTGGCATAAAAGATAAACCCATGAGTGCTCACAGCCATCCAGAGAAAGCTATTTCAGTTTTAGTTAGTTGCAATTGTATGGATGTTACAGAAATATTGGTGCAGTTTAAAAAGGACACTGATGTTGAACTGGATCAAGAATACAAGTCATTTGGAAGTAGGAAAATGGGACTTACAATATCACTCCCAGAAAGAGACGACACAGAAGAGGCAGATGAGCCTGATGATAACTGCTGGGTGCCAGTAAATGACAAAGCCAAAGGTGGGTTGCATAGCCGTTCAGCATCTCCATTCTGGCGTATGCTGCATGGAGATATGGTCTCTCTCTCGTTAATTTGAATATCTGTTAGATATACATTTGTCCATTAGTTTTTGTGCATATATGTGTGCATGTGTGGTCTTTTCACTTTTAAATAATAGAACAATTCATCAGATTTAGATACAGTTCCATTCCAGTGAAGTAGTACAGTTTAGAGTTTAGTCATGATTCACTACTCCAATGCAAATATCCCATCACCTATAGTTAAGAATATTTATCTATAATTTTCTGTTATGTTTGAATTGATAAACCACAGGTTATGACAGAACAACAAACCAGAATCCGATCATAATCTGTACAAACTGAACATTGGCATGATGATTTGCACTACCGACTCTGAATAGTAATGTTCCTTATGATAACAAATTTTGAGCAGATAGAAAAAGTAGACAAGCAGTTCTAAACTATTGTTTGATGTCATATCTGAGATTAGTTGTAATATAAGAAAAGTGAGAATATTCACTGAAAATTAAAATCCGAAGTGGAGTTTTAAAATCAACTCATTTACTCACCAAGATCAGGTGACAAGTTAACTTTGTTTCCCCATTTCTTTTTAATCCAAGCCCTGTAGTCAATCACTTCCTGTGTTACTTTGATTATTCTTCCTAAAGTGCTGGGGGGAAAAAGTTGACCCATATAAAACATCTAGATTCAATGACAAAGTAAAATTCTGAATAAAAATACTGAGGAAAAAAATTTAACCTGTACAACTGAAGTAAAATTCTGAATTACATTCATTAAGAGTAGATTCCAATTAAGAAAGCTATTTAGACACAAGAGGCATTTGTGCATGGTGCACTCTGCATAGTCCATGGTGCTATGTTATAAGATCTAAAGAGATGTTATAATGCACTCTGTATTGCACATAATAAAGTGGCTGCTTCACAAAAGGAGGCAGGAAGGTTGAGAGCAAGGGTAAACATCCTAAGTTCGTAAATCACACAATTAGTAAAGAAACCAGTTTAGAGGAGCAATTCTACAAACATGGATTTTAAAGAGTTTTGCAATGAATGCACTCATAAATAACTTACCTTTCTGAATCCCTGTTAGGATATGATCTTGCAAGTGGCGAGACTGCATGGCTTAAAACAATGTAGGCATAATCAAAAACTTGCTTTACTTGCATGGCACCGTAACAACTTCTTCCAACATCATTTCCTGTAACAGTTAAGTTTACAACTTAAAGAACACTTATTTTCATCCATATATTACTTTGGCACTTGCCCATTAATACATATGTCTGAGTCTATGTTATTTTTGCTTATATATTTGACCCTTGAGACTCCATATATATGCAGGAGTTATTTGGGAGTTGTGACCTTCTCATGTATATTGATTGTGATGTAGGTTTCTGCAACACATCTGAGAAACTGTTCCTATAATCAATTTCCTGGTGAAATGTTACTATTTTTCTGGATTCCATCGATAAATACCACTAATACCCATGCTCCACTCCTTTTCCCAGGTATTTTTCTCTTTCAGACCAGAAAGAATTTGTAATTTTGGCCATGTTGGTCTCATTTTACATTTGGAAGCCTGTTGTTATAAAATAGAAGTCTATTGCTTCTGGCCAATCAAAATTTATGCAACTTTCGTAAAGGCTCACACAAAATTCATGTCTGATTACTTATTTCTTCATCACTGTTGCCAAATTAGGAAAACACTGCTTACTCAAGCATTGGATTACTGCAAGCCAAGAAACTATTTCAGGCTTTGAATACACAAAACCCTACAAGGAGGTTTCCCTGCTTGCTACATCCTTAGCAGCCCACTCACATTTCTTTGTTCTGTAATATAAGCAATTCTTATTAATCTTTAATTGCCGGTACATGGGAACATGGGAAGCTATTTTACAGAGTCAAAAATAGGCCCATCTGGACCAGTATTATGAACTCCAACTGGCAGCAATTCTACAGGTTTTCAAGAGCATTTTTCCTAGCCCTACCTGAAGGAGTTCTAATCTTACCTGCTGATTTCTACTGGAGTACTAACTAGGCTTGACACTGATTAACTTCTGACATCAGATAGAATTGTATGCCCTGTATAACAGGCTAAAGATAATTGCTATCCTGTTAATTTTGTAAGAAACTAAAAGAAACCAGCTTTGTGCAAGTAAGGTGCAAAGCCTATGGTAACTAAAAGTCAGAAGTCACTTAGAAAGTAGTGTTGGTCTATTCATAGGACCTACTTATCTGTTATTCATGATGTCCACTGAAATAATATTTTAATTTCTAAAGTGATATCATGAATCCTCACTCGAATGTCTGCGATACCCAGAAAACTGCAATCTGCCCTCCATATCTAGCCCCTTGGAAGGAAACCATGACAGCCCTCATAATACATGGAGCCACCTTCCTAAGCACTGTGAACCTACCACTTAAGATGGAAAGCTTTCGCAGGCTACTCTTAAATGACCTAAATATTGACTGGTATCGATCAGCAATCAATAATGGCGATCATGTTAAGGATATGGTTAGAGAAAAAAGTTTGTTTATACTTTGTGAGAATATCCTTAAAACTATTTTACTATTCCTAAACTGTATTTAAGTATGGACCCCCCTTTCTCTAACACAAAGTCTGCACACACTCTTTTAATTTACTTATTAGAATTATTCAATCTGTACAGAATGCAGATGGCAAACTAGTCCTCAGCTGAAATTGCTGCATGGTTTCCTATTTCCTTTATCAGGGTTCTAGTTTCTCAAGTAATCCTATCCATATTTTTGTGGAACATTTACAAACACCTGACATATATTCTCAAACAAGCCACATCATCATGATTTTGCACCAAATAAAGTGTACACAAACCAATCTGAAAAATGAAGAAGGCATGCGATCAGTCAACACAGGCCTCATATGGAAATAATTGTAGTTAAGTACACGTGTATACAGGATTTCTGATCTCCAGACTTTTTGGTGTCATGCACCATGTTATGAAAAATGTATATAGCACATTATAATGTTGATCCTGGAAGTTACATGCTGCCTATCGAAAATACAGAAAAGAACATCACACTAAACACTGATCACAGAAAAAAATGTGACTATGATGAGATTAAGGAATTATTGTAATCACCTAGGTAAACATGCTTTTTAATAGAAAAAAGTGGTTTGTGTCATCTTACCAGGCAGAAGAGGATCTTCAATACATAACATAGAGGGTCGATATCCATTAGTCATAATTTTCATGATTTCTTCTTTGGCAACATAGGCACCTCCATTCTTTATTCTAATACCAGTTTTCAAGTAATTAAAATTTCTTCCATAGAGTTCAAAAAATTCTATCAGAAGCATTCCTAGATTTTCATCCAATCTCCTAGCATCAATTCGTGGGTGCAACTAGAAAAGAAAAGCAACACAAATGATTTATTTTGATTTTTACAGCAAAATAAAGAGAAATAGGTCAAAACTATTATCTCTCACTGCATGAAAAGAAGGTATCATCTCTCATTCCTTAAGCTGGTAAAGTTTTACTAAGCCTGGAAGGAGGGAGGATGGTACAGGCTGGTACGAGCCTCGTATTATTCTGCATCTAAGATAGCTATACCACTCTTATACCAGGATCAGAAACATGAAACAGGAATTTCCGTTCTCATAGTTTGGAGTCTCTGCATAATTTTAGAAGTCCTCTTAATGTTATTTTGGTGCTATGAGTGAAGGAGTAAGGCTAATTCAATTTTTTTTTCAAGAAAGGAAATTGTCTACATAATAGTATATCAAAGGAAAGCATCATGGTAACCGTAAGAAGTCCAACCTAATAAACTATTGTAATTTATTCATAGAGAACGTGCCCAATCACTGCTGTATGACAATCCAAGCACTAAAATGAAGCATATACAAAACATTGCAGAATTACATAAGTTTTGTTCTAAACAGTGCTCACAAGTTTATAGTAAAAAAAAAAAAAGATGCATAAAGCACCAAGATCATTTGCTTCAGCCAATCCAAAAGCACACAGATTTTTGATGGTTTATAGAAACCGCAAAAGAATCCTGCATAGGTAGGTAGATGAAAACAGCTCATCTTTGAATTCTCTGAAAAAAGGATATTTAATGACAGAAGACATACCTGTAAGAAGCTAATTGCCATTAAAATTAGGCTGTATGAGCTAATTCCACCAGTAAAAACTTCATTCAAATCCCTTTGAAGGAGGAACTGTTTTAATACTAAAATCAGATAAGGCAGCAATGTGTATTTCTGAAAATGAAAAAAAGTTTAAAAGGTTCTGATTAAGATTACTCATTTTGTCATATGTAGTATCACATAAAAATATTTACACATTCCTGGATAAATGGTACCTAATAAGATGCTGTCTGTATGACTGAACTGAAATTTCTCTTTACTCATATACTAATTGCCTACAAACATAGAAGTTTTACACACTAAAATATCTGTTAACAAAACAGAAATGGCTACAAATGTCACTCCAATATAAGCTTATGAAGGGAGACATGCGCAAACATCAATTTTTTACAATGTACCTCAAGATGAAAGCTTCTCATTGCTAATAATAAAGAGCTAGAAAGTTAAGCCAGCCCATTCTGACCACTTAATGTCAAAAAGTGCTTTGTCTGATATTGTCTGAACAGCATTATTAAATGGAGAAAAAAATTCTGTGGCTATACAGAAATTTATTCAGCTCAAGATTCCTGGGTCTATCAAGTCGTGTGAAACCAAAGACTTCGTTTCAAGTAGAATACCAACATAAAATGATAGTTTGCATTTAGGTATCTCTTTACCCATCAATCCAGTCACAAAGATACAAAAATAAAATGAGATGCTTCACAGACAAATAGTTAAGCAGGAATGCATTTGATTTGCAGAAACAACTGAGTCAAGAAGAAGCTACTTACTCTGCTAATCAGAACACTAAGACAGTCAAGTTCCTCCTATTTACTGGATACATTATCAGTTCTTAAACAATTATGCCTATGTGAAATGCTGTGCATTCCCTCATGTTCCTCATTGGCTAGTACCCCAGGTTTAAATAACCAAGTAGTATCAATTCCTGATAGGCTTCATTCCAGCTTGTGAAAGTCTACTTGTGAAATGAGCCCCACCCACTGTCTTTAACTGCCATTCTGCTACCAAGACACAACTGTGTTCTTGTCTTATGTATTACATCTCATCTAACTTATGTAGATTGCAAGCCGGAGGACAAATTAACATTTTATAAGCTGCCAAGAATCTTTTTGTGGCTGAGGAGTGGCATAAAAAGTATCTAAATAAATAACAAAATACTGATACTTACCTTGTGGACTTTCTCCTAGAGGAGTAGGAGGTGCTTTTTAATACATCAATTTCTACTATCAGATGCTCAAACTGATACTGACGCACATTTATTATCTCTTATTTGTAATTTTCTGCAATCATAAAACCTTCATAAAGACATATTGGGATTTATTTGGCTGTTTTTACCTTCATGTAGTCTTTGATGAGTCGTGCTGCCTTCACACCAGTTTCCACATTAAAACTAATGTCAACTTTAACTTCTGTTTCCTGGTCAGTAAGTTTTATTATCGGTACCTGCAACAATAGTCAAACCAGTTATTCAGCCATTTCCAACAAGTCGGCTGACATTTTTCAGTGACTGATGAATTGATGTATAAAAATTTTAACCTACCACATAGTACACTGCAGCACTGGAAATAGACAAACATGGGGAATGCTGGACTCATGATTCTAAGTAGATCCAGACATAGGCTCTCCGAATTTAAAAAAGAATTAAAGATGTTTCTCTTCCAGCAGGCCGAACAAGTTGATTTTGAATTGTGGATTTTAAATTAACATTTTTATATATATTGATGAATTTAATCTGTAATGGTTTGTGTTTAAATCTTGTTTTAAATAGATTTATGTGTTTTGAGTTACATATTGTACTTGACTTTATGGTGTACCCTACTTCAAGACTTAGGGGGAGGTGGATAAGAAATAAAAACTTACGTTATTTTATTATTAAAAGTGCTACAAAACTCAACTGTCTCTGTATTTTCAAAGGCTTTCATAGTCAGAATCACTGAGTTGTTGTAAGTTTTTCGGGCTGTATGGCCATGTTCCATGTTTCAAAAACATGGCCATATAGCTCGAAAAACTCACAGCAACTCAACTGTCTCTGCTGTATAACCTAACACATCTGTCTCATTCGAAGCACTCAGATTGTTATTTATTATAAACATTATTTATATTGCCATAATATCAAAAACAGGGAGAAAACTTCTGCTACTCGAAAATTCAGCAGCTCCACTTCTACTCCGGGCAATTTTTGCAGAGCAAGTGACTCCCACTACTCTTTCTTTCACAATGGCTTCTGATTCATTTTGGAACATATTCCAAAGCACAGTTTTGGTTTTTTTTTTTTTTACTTTTAAAGCACTGAATTGCTCGGTGTCACATTACTTGAAGGATTCTCTCCTTCTTTACGATCATGWTCAACTGTTCAAATATTTGGGGCAGCCTGAACYGCACTATTTTCAAAAAACACGATTAGAAAGGATAWTTGAGAGTATTTACTCTCTCATGGCACTCAGCCTACAGCTCTGGATAGATCAGATTAATGCCTCCATCGTAGCATTTTAAGAGGCCAATCAAAACCTCTTTTATAAAGCAGGAGTATGGCATGGTTTGTTCCCTAATCTTGTTGTCACAAACAAAATTATGCTACTGGTTGCCTTATGTGTAATTTTAATATACRTCATTATATGATTACTCTAACTTTCATTGTTATATCAATGAGAAAGCTYTAATTAACTTARTTTACTTTTCTCTTTTTGCCACAAAGGCGGTGAGGGGGTGAATCAAGGGCAAAATCTTAAGGTCACTCCACATTTCTGATAGTAGAAAGTGACAGTATAAGAGTTTTTCAACTAGCTTTTGGGTTACTCTCTTCAATATAAAGCAAGAATGGAGCTTGCTGAATGTTTCAAATACAGTCTTTTCCTCTTAAGAGCAAGTTCTGATACTCACTAAAGCCATCATATTTGGAGATCTAGGATTATTTCAATGGAACTCACTTCCAAGAGCACTAAAAATCTGGGTGTTAAAACACCAGCTCCTCCTCGGCAGCAATGCTGTAATCTATAAACAGCATGTGTGTCTGTTTACTGAGGGTTCAAGTGACTGGCTGAACCTCTGAACTCTTGAAGCTAGTGAAATACCAGAGATTTAAAGCAGAAAAGAAATGTTATTTTAGTCCTTTAGGAAATGAAAATGATAGGGTAAGAAAACACGAATTGAAGCCTCAAGGGTATTAGTAAAACAAAAAGCAGTCTGCAAATTAGATACTTTACAAAAGTATGGTATCCAGTGCAAGTCCACATCAGAGGCTATGACTCATAAGCTAAAGAAGCCTAACATGAGCCAAGAGGAATGTTCAAATGTCAGCAGCAGCAAGTCTAGAAACAGCATAGCTAAACACAACATCATTTAACAGGGATGTTGTCAGAACCTTAACTCAGTGACTTAGAAAACAACAACAGAGGACAACGACCTGCAAAATTGTGCAATCTAATGAGCTCTGCTGCATTGGAGGAGGCGGCGGCGGGGGGGGGGAGGGGCTCAACAATCTTACCCTCAGATATGGTTGCAACATTAGCACACTTTAGATACTCTCCTTACATTGGCTCAGAACCTGAGAGCTTGTTGCAAAGGAATGAGCACTTGGATTTGATGGAGACTGGTACTGAAGGCTCTCAATCTTGAACCATCCCCACTAGAAGATGGTGATGAGACTGCTGAGAGCTTCAGGATGGAAAAGTCTGAACCCAAGATCAAGCTCCATAAGCACCCTCCTCTTCTTCTTTTTCTTACAACTTTTCTCCTTCACTTGGTGCTTGGGAACTAATGTGAAAGTGTCCACCATCTACCTGATGTCATGGGTATTTGGAATTGAGCCTCCATATCAATTGACTGATCCGCTGTTGAAGGTATCCTTGGCTGAGAGGCAAATTCTGAGACAGGATGATTGGTGATGTCCTTAGTCATTTCAGAGTAACTCGCAGATTCTTGATGAGACCTGTTCACTACAACATGGACTAAGGAATCAGGAGCATTTAGGGCCGAGGAAAATTAAGATGACGCCAATGAACAGGTCACTTAGAGTAGCCTACTTTCTGACACTTTGTCCAGGCCTTTTCAAACTTTCTCACACAGGGGAGCTTTGAATCTCAATCAGTTCCAGACCACTTATAGGATGAACACCTGATAATAAGAACAGGCCCCAACATGATCTTCTCCAAGATATAAGAAATTACCATATTTTCAGGGATGTTGGATCCACAAGAGCACACACATTTTTTTTAAAATGAAGAAGCCATTCTGAGGCAACACACCAAACCAGATCCTGCAAGCCCAAAATGCAGCATTTTATTGAATGCCAAAACTATCTGTAAGTCAAGCCAAGAAGCCAAAATACAATCTAAAAAAAGTTCAAATTTTACTAAACTTAGAGGGATACAACTTAAGATTTGGATGGCATGTCTATTTATGGTATGAGAAAGATAAGGTTAATAAAGACTTCTCTAGACATCCCATAAGAGCTAGTCGTTTAGCAATTTTGAAGAGAAACAAAGCGGGATTAAACAAAACACCTCTCTATGGCTTTGGAAACAGTGTTAAACCCAGCATTTAATGGGGAAATGAAAATCTATATGGAGTACCTAATCAAAGAAAAAGAGCCCTGGAAATTAAAAGGGAGAGAAGAATTAGGGATACATGACTGGTTCCGTTATTATCAATTATATCAGAAATTTAAGAAAGTTAATAAGGTAGGATTCACCAAGAGAAAATAAGAATTAGAGAACATTTTGGAGAAAAGGAATAAGGGATTAATTTCCAGACTATATAAATACATATTAGAGTATAATTGGCAGCCTTAAGTAATTGCTCTTGAAGTTTCCAAACTATATACTCCGCAGGCACAGATAACACAATTGTGTATCACAGAGAGCACAAAGGATGAAAAAAAAAAAGAATTATACTGAAATGATCTGGTTTGATGGGATGGGAAGAATCCAGTGTTATTCCATTATGAAAACATTCTTGAAAACAGATTGGGATTGAAATGCTACTATTACAAATTAATGCAAAGCAGATTATCTTTACTACTGAAATAAAAGAGAGATTTTTAAAAACAGCTTTTATAAGAATAGAAATATAAATTTAAGATTTCTTTATATTGCTACCTTCTGCTTCTTGTACTCTAAATCAAGTATAACTTGTTTCTGTTACATACCGTAGCTTTGTCAAGCACTTTAATTGAATACGGCTCAGCTACATTGTGTTTCCTTAGCGCTTGTTCCAGCAGCTGCAGAGGTGGACTTTCCCATTTTCCAAAAACCACTAAATCAATGTCACTATAAAGAAGAAAAATAAGAACAAAATTTTATAGAAGTTTAGGTGTTACACTGGCCAAATTGAACAGAAGAGTTAAGCTCAGACTAAAACAAAGTATTCAGCTTTTTAAAATTATGTATTTTTGTAAACAATTGAAAAATGTCACATCTTTTGAATTTATTTATACAGTTGATTTTATTTATAAGTTGAATCAGGTCCAGAAAAAAGTGCACTCTTTGTAATTTGTCGAAAAAAGGTGCACATTATAGTTCCTGTGTGATTAGAATCACTTTTTTTAAAAAACCAAAGATTCCATGCAATGGAAAGGATTTTTTTTTTGGTGGTGTCAGGAGCGACTTGAGAAACTGCAAGTCGCTTCTGGTGTGAGAGAATTGGCTGTCTGCAAGGACGTTGCCCAGGGGACGCCTGGATGATTTGATGTTTTTATCATCCTTGTGGGAGGCTTCTCTCATGTCCCCGCATAAGGAGCTGGAGCTGATAGAGCGAGCTCATCCGCCTCTCCCCAGATTTGAACCTGCGACCTGTCGGTCTTCAGTCCTGCCGGCACAGGGGCTTAACCTACTGTGCCACCAGGGGCTCGGAAAGGAAAATGATAGAAATAGATAACCCTTCCCTCCAGGAGCCTCTCCTGTTTATCTTGCCCCAACTTCGTTGGGGTGTACTTATGCTGTGGAATGAATGCAGTCCGACACCATTTTAACCCCTCTGGTTCACTGCTGTGGAATCCTGGAAACTGTAGTTTTACAAGGTCTTCAGCCTTTACTGCCAAAGAACGCTGCTGCCTCAGCAAAATACAAATCCAAGCATTGCATAGCATTGAGTCAGGGCAATGAAAAGTAGTGCCAGACATGAAGGAAAGTAGAGGAGAGATGGGGAAATACAGGGAGAAGGAATGAGACATTGGACCTCATTTCACTAGCATCTGTCCACTTTAAATCTGATTGCTGCCTCCTGCAGAATTCTGGGGTTAGTAGTTTATGGAGGGACCTTTAAACTGCTCATCTAGAGAGGCCCTGGGCTTTACTAAACTGCAAACCCCAGAATTCTGCAGAAGGTAGCAACTGGATTTAGAGTGGGAAAAATATAAAAGGGTGTGAAGAGTTCAATAGGAAGAAAGGAGAAAAGGAGTTTGGAGAGATCGTTAGGAAGAAAAGGGAAGGAGTTTTGAGAAATAGATAGGAAAAAAAGGGAGAGGGGGTTTGGATAGATATTGATAGGAAGAAAAAGCAAAGTCGGGTGGAGAGATACTGACACATTTTGGCTCAGCACTCAAATTTCATGGCAGGTAAGGGGAGAGACCCATTCGTAACTACAGTACGAGTTGTTCTCAAGCTGGATGTTTGCAACTCGGGGACTACCTGTACATCATTCCCACTTAAATGTAGTGAGTTGCTTAATATTTGTCAAGTATTTCCAATAATTGATATTTACTATTAGACCTGAGGAATTATCATCTCAAATAATTCAGGTTAAATGAAACAAACTCTTCACCTGCATGAAATTTAACACAAAAAAGGTGATGTCCCCCATACTGTACTGCAGTTAAGTCTCAATCCATGTAATTTAGTTAACCAGTTTCCATTTCTATTTTTTATTATTATTATTTCTTTTTTTATTGTTGCTTCTTAATACATTTTTATCACATTACTTACACTTATTTCAGTCAGGTGCAAATATTCATAAACCTTTTGTGTAGACATTTGTAAATCTTATTATTAGTGTTTACTTATTTTCATTTGGTGCAATTATATCTAGAATATTTTGTAGCCAGCATACATAGGTGTTATTCATTTCTTTTGTTTATATCTTAGACATTTACATAGACTTTCTCTTACTAACATTTACTGCTAAATTTCTAAGTAAATGATAATAAAAATAGAGAAAAATAAAACCCTTGTGTTATCCCCCATCACCCAACTCCCCAACTACATCTTTCACTATATTGTTATCTTTACCCATGTGCACAGTTCTTTTACTTTTTAAAATAATATTTGCACTGGCTTTATTTGTTTTGAGAAAAGAAATGGATTCCCTGTTTATCTGTTTTTACCCATTTCATAAATGTTGTCCATTTGTGTCGTCCCCCCCTCTATTTTATCCTCATGTGTATTTTTCCTCGTTACACTTATAGTTTGGAATTGTACCTGTTCATATATGTAATTGTTCCAGCTCTCCAATGTCCACGTTTTAAAATCTTTCCACCCCCCTTGCAATTACTGCTTGTCCAGCTGGAATCATAGTTTTAAACAGTTCTTCTTCCTTTCTATTAATTTTCTTGTTTCCTAATATTCCAATTAGTATCACGTCTAAATTTACTTGTATAGGTGTTTTAAATATTCTTTCCATCATTTTTGTTATCATTTCCCAGAATATCCCCTTATTAATAAACTATTACTAAAAGACATGAAGAGCCATAAATATTGTTCCAGACCACAGGATTCACCTGGTTGGTAGATATAGTCCTGTACTAAAGCTTCCAAAAATCTGAACCTGGAAAAGAAAAACAGAGTCAGTAATGAATCAAGAATATTGAACTCGTAGATTTCTTTTTAAAAATCTATATTGCCTTTTCTTTAGAAATTTACAAAAGACAGTTACTGATACCTAATCATTTAAAGAAAATTGCTTAGCCTTATCTTCCTTGCACAAGAGAACACAATGGCCTGATTCACAGATAATGACATGTTTAATCATCATGACAAACTACTGCAAGAGAAATCAGAAAAGGACAGGATCCCTCTACATTGGGGGTGGGGAAAATCAACAACAGATTCCTAATTTACAGTTCATAAAACCAAACAATCAAGAGAAAACTAGCATACAAATCAACAACAGATTCCTAATTTATAATTCATAAAACCAAACAATCAACAGAAAACTAGCATACAAGTTCACTAGTATCCGATACCAAGACTGGAATCTCTATGTGGGTTTTTGTTTTGTTTTTTGCAGACTCCTCACCTGTAACCAAGATCAAAGCCAAATAAATGTCAGAAAAGGGGTCATACAACAATTGTGGCTGTGATGTTTATAAAGAGAACCCTTAAAAAGCCTCAAAGGGAAGGAGGATTAGTATGTTTTAGGTCTTCAGAGGTGTATCCTTTCAAATTAAAAAGGGCCAAAAGGCATTAAGGAACAAGTTGGGTTTTCAGTCTCAGGCAGAAGCCAGTTCTCTGCATTAAAAAAACAACAACCCAGATATGTTAATTTGGGATGCACTCACATCAGCTGTAGGCCAAAGATCTTTGATGACAGTTTCTATTCTTTTCACGACTTCCTTTCTCATAACTGCTTCTTCAGGACGAGGGGACATAAAGTCATAAAAATCCATTATTTCTTCATGAAGCCTAGGAGAAAGAATAAAAAGGTCAATAAGCACCAGAGGAAATACTTAAATGTTCACAGAATATCTCACTAGAGATTTGTATCTGGATTTCCAAAGAAAAACTGCTGGATTCCACTAGGGTTTCATTTTCAAACACACACTTAACAAAAACTGATGACATGACCTAAAATAATAAACGTTCTGCAAACCTGAAAGATATCACTAATAGGTGTGCTTTTGTGTATATGTGTGTGGAGTTTGTTTCCAAAATGTATCTTTTTTTTTTAAATGAAACGTGAGTTATAGGTGGCAGGACATTGTTAGCTGGGCATAAAAGATTATGTACAGACCAAAACTATCAAAATGTATAAAATCACTTTGTTACAGGGCTTGGAAAATTGCATTTTATAGCAATATAAAGATGCGTATTTTCAGCCCTTTTTAGGCCTGTAAAAATTTGTTCAAATGGGATTTGGTACCTTTTGGAAACAAGCTCCATATTTTGTTATTGAATGCCTTAGAGAAAGCAATCCCGCCTGGAAGCTGAGGATTGGTTAGTACTTAGATGGAAGACACCTAATGAATACCAGATGATGTAGGCTATATTTCAGAAGGAACTGGTAAACCATCTCTGAGTATTCCTTGCAAAAAAAAAAAAACAAACTATGAAATTCAGGTGGTCAACAATAAGTTAACAGGCAGTTTGAAGGCATATACACCCATACACATGTGCAAGACTTTGCAGTTTCTATTCCATAAAATGGGAGGTGCATAACTCTAAACACATTACATGTCACTGAACACAGTAAAATTTGTTTCTGAGGAAGCATACTTAGGATCACACTGCCTATATATGAAAGTATATATGAAAGCTGGACAATTACAAATTAACTGCTCCTTCAAGGCACATAGATGTTTTCCAAGTTGCAAAAACACAACTCATGGAGACACATGAAAGAGAAAATTGAGGTAGTTGAATACATACAACCATAAATCAGATTTGGTGAACACAAAGAAGCTAGTTTTAAGTAAAATTTCATGTGCCCAAGCTCTAGTCCTAGTTATTCCACAAATAATATGGCATAGCAAACTCTGTCATCATGCATATTTGACAATTACGGTTAATCACAGCTTCTTGATGAACATATTAATATGGCATCCATGCCTACAAATGTTTGTGATATGCATGCTGTATATGCATATCACATATGTAAGGAGTAAGATGTATAATTACAAAACATGTATTGAAAAAGCATTTTACAATGTTCGTGATTACTTGCAATACAAAGACAGTTCTTCAATGCCTGTTATTACTCAAATACAAAAGATCTTCCAAGCTACATAAATAAAAATAAAAAGAGAAGCAGGGTAAGAGGAAAATTCCACCAAGCACCTGTGAAGTTACAAAACTTTTGGATTGTCAGTGGAAGTTGACACTATAGTGAAAAAAAAGAGAACACAAATCCTCTAAAATTGAAAGTCAGAGTATATATGTGTATTATACATATGGCCGACAGCAACTAAAACACGGAACATTAATTATTTTTTGAGGATTGCAGGGAAAGAAAAAGAGCAAATTGTCTGGCAAGCCCATCACATAATGAATATCCCAGAAGGTGGATTACAGCTGGGAAGATGTATGAAACACACTCTTAAAAAACATTAATGTCCTTGCATCATACAGAGATGTTTTGAGGAGTTAAATATAGAAATAACATATTTTCCTTTCCCACTCTCCAAATCCTACTTCTCTATCCAATATAGACATAAAATACTATAGTTTCTATATAAAAGTCCTCTCATAACATGTAATATAGTGGGGAAGAAAGGCTTATCTCCCTTTCTTGACTGGATCCCTTCCCTTCTATGAGGCCTCAACAAGAGTACAATGTTGCAGGATGGCTGCACCATGGTTAGACGAGAAGGAAAGGAATCACTTTCTCTTCATTTTTCAAAGACTGGAGAAAGGTAGATGTTGTTTCTGTTGATATTAGTCAAGGTGGCCTGGATTACTCCAGCAGTCAATCTGGAAGCCAAACGCTATGAGGAGAAGTTTTGAGACTGGATAAGTTTAGCCTGAAGAGGTGACACAATGGCCATGTTTAAATATTTGGAAGGTTATCATATTGAAAATGAAACAGCTTTGTTACTAGTGTAGACTAGGACTTGGGGCAATAGGTTCAAACTGCAGGAAAAAGAGGAGGAACGAGGTAAGAGCTACTCAGGAGTGTAAAATGCTGCCTTAGAATGTGGTGGTGTCTCTTTCTTTTGAGATTTTAAAATAAAAGTTTGATGACCATCTATTGGGAGTGCTTTTATCATGTATTTCTGCATGGCAGGGATTCCAATTCTGCCTCAGCCTACAACCAAGTTCTCTAGCTTCAGCTTGGAGTAGTAATGGAGAATCATCTCTAATCTATTATTTAGAAGCTAAATACAATATCTCAAGAGAGAGTCTTGGTAATTACAAGTTTTTAGTTATTACTAAACCCAGACAAAATCAATATACTGCTGCTTATTATTAAAAGTAAGAAGACTGAGGCCAAGAAAATGTTTCTTCCTACACTGCCAAGTGCCACATGGTGAAAGTGCAATTTGAAGTGAGAAATATTTTCCATGGAAAACTCTCAATTTTTTTTAAAAGGGTTAAAAATTCATTACTAACAAAGAATGAATTGCAATTCAAAGGCAGGCAACTCAGCAGCTTGAGCTGTTAATAATGATTTCCAGGCAATTATCCCCAGATTGTGTGTGAGAGAGTGATATGTCTAATTGATTTGTAAACAAATAATAAAACTAAGTCACTAACCAAAACACTGAGTGGTTTTGGTTACTCTGATAGCATTATCTAATCGGAAAACACCTAGTGTACCCTATCATTATAATGAAGGTGCTGAAAGAAGAGAGGCTGGAAATTGGTAGATATAAATACTGCTGACAATGCGCCAAGTACCAAGAAACATTTAATATTATGTAAAAATTGTTCTGAAGGAGCACAAGCTATATACAGAATGTTAATTCATTGAACGATGCTTCCAGATGGACAGCTCCTAGTGCTACCAGTCAAAAGGTAGTGTGGTTATATACCAGTCTTCATTGTCCAACAGATTTTTAAAAAATCAGAAAAAGATCTACAAAAATAAAATAAGGGTTACAAAAAAAAAAGATAGCATTGTCTGGAACCATGTAAAATTCTCTGTCTAAAAAAAGGTAACTGTAAACTGATACAAAATCATCCAAGCTAATTCAACTTCAACATTTTTAAGACAATAAAATCAATACGATAGATACTATCTTGCTTTCCTACATAGCATTTCTGAGGTATACTATGCTATACTGGAAAAACTCTGAAAAAGCTTTTCCAGTATATGCTACATTAGCTATTTGTATGTGGCTTGTACTCTTTCTGGACAATTTTTACATGCTGTTGAAATGTTTCTGAACTCACAGAACATTTCTGCCTGTTTGAAACATTCTAGTTTTAAAACTACTAGACCCATCAAAATCTTTTCTGAAGCAAGGACATATCGTATTATGACAGCGAGAAGAAAATGGTCAGGAATCATTAATTTTGGCAAATAAGTAATGCACCCAATCACCCCCACTTACCACTTCCTGCCAGAGAGAAGAAACAGCTAAAAACAAACTAAGAAATGATTATTGCTGGTTAGTTTGGGGTTTAAGTGTGAACAGCAATTCCAGGCTTGCCACGCTATTAAAAGGTGAGAATCTGAAATTAGGGTTTCATCTTTGCATGAGATAGCTGGTTTCTTTGGAAGTGATATACCAAGAATCCTAGTCAACATCATCATAGTAAAGAAAACAGTACTGTGGGTTTTTAGGTTTTTCCACTCCTGCTTTTAGAAAGAACTAAGTGGAAAAAAATTAAGCAATTTGCTTGGGTAGGCTGTTCATTATCTATATGCTAGGATTCTTTTCTCAAACAGTGGAACAGCATAACACTCAAATTTTATGTGAAACCACCACAAGGATCCTAAACATTTCATTATAGTAGCTTATTATACATGGAAGAGAAAAGCATTCAGTTCAATCAAATCAAAAAGAAATAAACCAGCAATTGGATGCAATTCAATTTTAAACATTTTTCAATTGTTCGTGTTTCTAAAAAATCAGTTATAAGTGCAGTTATTAAAGAGGCAGAGGTGTGATAAACTGCTTTTACTGAGTCATAGATAAACCATTCTCTAGCCTAGGAAAATTAAGTTCAATCAGTTATGGTTAAGATGTTTCTGAATTTGAAATATAACCAAAAAGTATTACTTTTGGAGACCGTGCAGCAAAACCGTCAGTGGCACAAGAAGCTTAGTGGAAGAGGGGTAAACTACAGAGTAGACAAGTGCACTGGAGACATAGGTTTTCAAGACTTTTGAGTTTTTCTCTTAAATTTAACTAATGTAAGAGAAATGCTGTGTTTAATTTTAAATGAATATTCTATATTTTAAAACTGCATTAAAAGTGTTAGTTCTTTTTTTACTGTGTAACCTATATTATTCAAATCATATTTCCCCCCTAAACTAATACTCAAGCTCAAATATTTATGGTTAACTGAAGCACAAAATTAACATTGAATCCAATTTCAGTTTTATTAATATATATTCTCAAGAACTAATGCTGTGAAGAACAGGGTTCAAAACCTCGCTCAAGGTGACCTTGGAACAGCCATTTTCGCAAGATCTGTATTGCCCTATATCTCAGGATCTGATTCCAGATTATCTGCTTTGAACTGAATTATATGAATCTATACTGCTGGATAATCCGGGATAAGCAGATAATTGGGATCAGATCCTGGGATATAAGACAGTGTAGATCCAGCGTCAGTCTCAAAAGAAGGAAAAAACTACCCTTTTTGCCTTCTGAACAAATCTTACCACAAAAAAATCAAACAAAAAAACAAACAACACATGATAGTTTTAGAAGTCAGGAATGACTTGAACAGACACAACAACAAGCATGCTGAGACCAGGATATTATTTGATTCCAAATATTCTTTTAAAAAATATCCCTGGGAATTATATAATGCCAGCTCAAAGAGTATTCTAAGAATTTCATTAAAACATACGCACAAACAGATTCTGGCTGATGACGGGCTTCATGGAGAGTAGATACCACATACATCCAGTTTGTGTTTTAACTGAATAATTCCTTATTCCTTTTAGAATAAAATAAATCTGGGTAACATACAGCCACTGCCTTTCATGGATATTCTATGGGTCCTTCCATATTGCCATATAACCCAGAATATCAAGGCAGAAAATCCCACAATACCTGCTTTGAACTGGGTTATCTGAGTCCACAGTGCCATATATTCCAGTTCAAAGCAGATGAGGGATTTTATTCAGCTGTGTGGAAGAGGCTTATGTGTGTTATCTGCCATCATGTCACCTCCTACCTTATAGCGACCCCAAGAATTTCATAGGGTTTTCTTAGGCAATTAATACTCAGAGAGGTTTCTGCTAGTTCCTTCTGCAGAAATGTAGGCTACAGCACCATGAGATCCAATGTTGCATGCACAATGGGAATCGGATATGAATTCTGAAAGCAGAATTTGATATTACAAGAAAGGCTACTTTTGACACCTCATATTAAGTCAAAGTCTCCTTGCCTGAATCTGTTGTCTTTGAAAATGAAGGTTTCATTATGGCAATCCCATGAATTTCATAGGGTTTTCTTAAGAAAGGAATTATCAAAGGGCGTTTTGCCACTTCCTTCTTCTGAAATATAGCAAAATAACTATTCACCAGATGTCTCCCAACTAAACTTGGCAAGTTTGTGCAGAATTTGATTGAACATCATTTAAATACAATACAGCTATCGGGAGTTAGGGATGATGAGTAAGAAGCAAAGAACAAAAATGCAAATGAGAGGTACACACCTTGGGAATACCCCCCCCCCCAATTTCTACTCATTTGTTACTCCATCCCTCCACAGCCTACAAAGAGAAGGTTTAGGTAGCGATATATGAAGGGATGGGAGGAGTTAATTAAAGCTGAATAAAGATGATGGGAGCTCAGAGTAGTTCCAAAAATAAAGGGCCCTATTGTACCACATGGGTGAGTCCTTTTAGAATATGAGCCCTTAGTATCCACTGAGCTTTGATACCAAAATCCATGGATATTCAAATCCCATTATACAGTCATCCCTTCACATTTGGAGTTTTGGCTTTTGTGGTTATTTGCAGAATTAGTTAAAATGTTAAATGAACTTCTAGGCCCTTCACTACAACCCCCTGTGAAAGTTGACCATACAGCCACACTGGAGGACCTAGAGATTCCTATAAAGAACAGCTCTCTAGGAATCTTTAGATCCAACTAAGTGGAATTCTATGGTCAGCTTCTAGAAGATGTTAAGAGAATCATTTTAGAGGCCCTAGAAATTCCTAGAGAGGCATTCTTTCAGATACATAGGGTTTTTTATACATTAATGGCTTTCTTTAGTTTTATGGGATCCTGTGCATCTAACCCCAGTGACTGTGGAGGACTCATTATACCCTGAGTCCCATGCTCACACCCCTATCCCAAGCTGTACTAAAGGAGGATAACTTGAAACTCTCAGAGGATATGTCTATAATGAATGAAACCACTTTAACTGCTATGGATATATGCTTAACCCAGACAAGACTGAGGTGCTCCTGGGTCAGTAGTAAGATCTGGGAATAGGAATTCAGCCTGTGTTAGATGGGGTCACACTCCCCATGAAAACACATGTTCACAGTTTGGGAGTACTCCTGGATTTGGCTCTGAACCTGGAGTCCCAGGTATCAGCAGCGACCAGGAGTGCTTTTGCTGAGTCAAAACTACTGCATCAACTGTTCCCATTCCTGGAGAAGTCAGACGGTGGTACATGTCTTGGTTACATCCCAATTGGACTACTGTAAAGCGCTCTACATGGATCTGCCTTTGAAAACTGCTCAAGAAACTTTAATTGTTCCAAGAGCAGCAGCCAGACTATTTGGGGTTGGATACAGGGAGCATACAACTCCTCTGTTGTGACAGCTCCACTGGCAGCCAACCTGTTTCCAGGCACAATTCAAAGTGCTGGTTTTGACCTACAGAAGGACCATATATCTTTCTATGAACCTGGGAGACATCTACGATCTACTGGCGAGGAGCTTCTCTGAGAGTTGGAAGAGACTTTGTGGGCCATCCAGTCCAAGCTCCTGCCAAAAAGCAGGAAAATTGCATTCAAACAACCCCGAGAGATGGCCATCCACCCTCCGCTTAAAAGTCTCCGTAGAAGGAGCCCCCACCACACTCCAGGCAGAGAGTTCCACTACTGAACAGCTCTCACAGGAAGTTCTTCCTAACGTTCAGTCTCCTTTCCTGTAGTTTGAAGCCATTGTTCCACGTCCTAGTCTCCAAGGCATCAAAAAAGAAGCTTGCTCCCTCCTCCCTATGACCTCCCCTCACATATTTATACATGGCCATCATGTCTTCTCTCATCCTTCTCTTCTGCAGGCTAAACATGCCCAGCTCTTTAAGCCTTGATCATTTTAGTTGTCCTCCTCTCGACACATTCTAGCTTGTTAATATCTCCCTTCAATTATGGTGCCTAGAATTGGACACAGTATTCCAGGTGTTGTCTGACTAAGACAGAATAGAGGGGTAGCATGACTTCCCTGGATCTAGAGTACACACTATACTCCTATTTGTGCAGGCCAAAATCCCACTGGCTTCAGGCGTTCCCCTGGATCTTTGCATTTCATTTTTTCTGCCTAAGTGGAGTATCTTCCATTTGTCCCTGGGTTTTGTCATTTAGTGAGGCCCAGGACCTGTCTGGCTGAACAGTTCCAAGGCCACTCCCTAAACAACAAACCCCAGAACTATGCACAAAGCAGAAACCAGATTTAAAGTGGATCCATGCTTTAGTGCAGGCATGGGCAAACTTTGGCCCTCTGGGTATTTTGGACTTCATATCCCACGGGTGGTAGGAATTGTGGGAGTTGAAGTCCAAAGCACCCAGAGGGCCAACGAGTGCCCATGCCTGCTCTAGTGCGATGAAGTCCCAGGATGGCTTTATTCCTACTGGCCTTCTACATTTCCCTGCCAGCAGGCCTTTGGGAAGAAAGAGGAACATGCTGCTGGGGAGATGGTGGGTGGGATTTGGGGGGACTGCTTCAAAATGTCATTTTAATGGTATGTATTTGAACTCTGTATGGTATGTATTTGAACTGGGGCCCCTGATGCCACAGCAGGTTAAACCTCTGAGCTACTGAACTTGCTGACCAAAAGGTCGGTGGTTCAAATCCAGGGAGCAGGGTGAGTTCCTGCAGTTAGCCCTGCGTCTGCCAACCTAGCAATTCAAAAACATGCAAATGTGAGTAGATCAAGAGGTACTGCTTCTGCAGGAAGATAACAGCACTCCATGCAGTCATGCCAGCCACATGACCTTGAAGGCTTCTATGGACAATGCTAGCTCTTCAGCTTAGAAATGGAGTCGGACACAACTAGACTTAATGTTGGAGGAAACCTTTACCTTTACTGGGTTGCTGTGAGTCTTCCAGGTCGTATGACCACGTTCCAGAATTATTCACCCCTGACCTTTCACCTGCTTCTATGGCAGGCATCCTCAAAGGTGGTGCGGTTGCTGTGAGTTTCCCGGGCTGTATGGCCATGTTCCATGTTACCTTTACTTGTCGTTTAATGAGGCCCAGGACCTGTCTGTCAGAGCAGTTCCAAGGCCATTGCCTAAACAACAAACCCCAGAACTCTGCACTGGATTTAAAGTGGTCCCCAGCATGGGCAAACTTCGGCTCTCCAGATGTTTTGGACTTCAACTCCCAAGGAGGAATTAAAAGTCCAAAACACCTTGATGGCTGAAATTTGCCCATGCCTGCTCTAGTGTGATGAAGCCCCGGATGGTTTTGTCCCTGCTGGCCTTCTGGGGAAGAATGAGGCGCATGCTGCTGGGGAGGTGGTGGGTGGGATTTCGGGGATGGGGGGAGGGGCTGTTTCAAAATGTCACTTTAATTGTTTCTATTTTAACTCAATATCCACACACTTTTTGAATTTTAATGTTGTTTGAAACGGTGGTTGTGAGCCGCCTTGAGCCCCCTCCCTCCACAGATAGCGAAGATGCGAGCAATAATGGAGGCTCACTCACCCTTGGATGCCGGGGCTGTAGGGCCTCCTTTTCCACGGCGTGCCCTGCAGGAGCAGGCCGCATCCGGGCTGCACGGAGGGGCAGAGGCCTCCCTCCCCGGCTCCTCCTCCCGCTCCTCCGGCGGAGAGCAAGTAGTTCATGCCATAGGTGCTGGCCTTGTTGTCCCGTTTCCTGCGGCCTGGGTGGTACTGGTGGTAATGGTGGTGGTGGTGGTAGTAATGCCGCGGAGGGGCGGCTCCCGAAGGCCGCGGCCCGCCTTCCTTGGCCGGCTCTTCTTCCCTCCGAGGGCTCCCTTCGGCGGGCGGAGGCCCAGGCGGCAGAGGCCCAGGCGGCGACGAGGAGGAGCCTCCCCCGCCGGGACTATCCGCTCCGGACTCGGAGGAGGACGAGAAGGACGACGACGACACCGAGGAGGGAGACTTCTGGAGCAGCAGCAGCCTTGGCGCCCGCCTCTCCTCCGAGGGAGGCGGCGTCGCGGGGCCCAAGCGGCAGAGGGAATAACGGGCCGGGCCTGTTGGCGGGAAGGGAGGCGCCGAGGAAGAAGAGGGAGGTAAAGAGGGCGAGGAGGACGAGGAGGAGGAGGCCGAGCCTACGCTGCCGGCCCGGCCTTGCGAGGTCTCCCAGATCTGCATCCAGAGCGCATTGGCGGGGCCTTTCTGCTCGGGCTGGATCCAGGCCACGCGGGGATCCATCCATCCATCCGCCCCTCCTTCCTCCTCAGGCTCCTTCCTGGCCGCCGGCGCCGACGGGCCTGTCAGGCATGCGTTTGGAGGAGGAGGAGGAGGAGGAGGAGGAAGAGGCGGGGCCAAGAGGGGGCGGGGACAACGGGGAGCCCATTGGACAGCCGCCTCCGCCAGGGCATCGCCCCTCCCCCCGCCCGCTCCTAAGCCTCATCCGCGCCTGCGCAGTCGAGACCGCCCCCTCTGAACTCTCATAACGGCTCTCCTGTTCTGTGCTTTTCGGCTGCTTTCCCTCACTGTCCAGAAATGGTGTTTCTGTGCTGCTTTCCCGCAATGTCCTCTTTGCAGTGCTAGGAAGGGCACTGCAAAGGGAAAGAGAACAGTATCATACAGTGTTTCTCACCCTGGGGGTCATGAGGGGGTGTCAGGGGTCGCCAGAGACCATCAGAAAATACAGTATTTTTCTGCTGGTCATGGGGGTTCCTTATGGGAAGTTTAGCCCAATTCTATCATTGGTGGGGTTCAGAACGCTCTTTGATTGTAGATGAACTATACATCCCAACAATTACGAACGTATTCTCCCGTACGAACCATCAAGATTATTAAGATCATCTGGAGAGGCGCTGCTCTCGGTCCCACCGGCCTTGCAAGCGCGGCTGGTGGGGACGAGGGACAGGGCCTTCTCGGTGGTGGCCCCTTGACTCTGGAACTCTCTCCCTCTGGAGGCCAGAACCCCCCATCCGTCTTAACATTTAGGAAACGGGTGAAGACGTGGCTGTGGAGTCAGGCCTTCGATGACTGAGACAACACCATAGGACCCTGGATGGAAGTTGATGTAGATCCATCTTAATAGGACGACTGACCACTGTAGTTTTATATATAGTGTTTTTAAAGTTGTTTTTGTAATTTGTGATATATGATGTTTTAATGAGTGTATATGTTTTTATGGCTGGAAACTGGGCTGAGTCCCTCAATGAGGTTGAGAAGCTCGGTATAGAAAACTGTGAAATAAATAAATAAATAAATAAATAAAATACAACTCTCAAATGTCAAGGTCTATTTCCCCCAAATTCCACCAGTGTTCACGTTTGGACATAATGGCTGTTCCGATGTGCCTTCCCAGATTGGGAATCTCCAATACCAAGTCCCAGAAGCACTTTAGTAGAACTAAGATTGCTGCACACCGCACACTGCACTTACTTATAATCCTACATACCTCCTGCCACATCAGCACTTTTAATCTTGTACCCATTACTCTGGCCCGGCCCAGTTTTATAGTGTCTTGATGTATTGTTTATTGCTTGTTGTTAATATTGCTTAACTGTTTTTAATTTGCTTTAGGTGTTGTATTGTTGTGTTGTGTTTTGAGGCCTTGGCCTATGTAAGCCGCATCGAGTCCTTCGGGAGATGCTAGCGGGGTACAAATAAAGTAATAATAATAATAATAATAATAATAATAATAATAATAATGATCCTCCATCACATTGATTTATATCCTGTTCCACAGTGCTCTCTAGATGTAGGTGAACTACAACTCCCATCATCAAGGTCAATGCCCACCTAACCCTTCCAGTATTTTCTGTTGGTCATGGGAGTTCTGTGTGCCAAGATAGGTTCAATTCCATCGTTGGTGGGGTTCAGAATGCTCTTTGATTGTAGGTTAACTATAAATCCCAGCAACTACAACTCCCAAATGACAAAATAAATCTCCCCAACCCCACTAATATTCAAATTTGGACGTTTCGGGTATTTGTGCCAAAACTGATCCAGTGAATGAAAATACATCCTGCATATCAGATATTTACATTACGACTCATAACAGTGGCAAAATCACAGTTACGAAGTAGCAACAAAAATAATTTAATCATTGGGGTCACCACAATATGTGGAACTGTATTAAGGGGTCGCAGCATTAGGAAGGTTGAGAAACACTGCTATAATATAACCTAATGCCACAACCCCTTAATACAGTTCCTCATGTTGTCCTCCTCGGCCTACTTGGGCCTCCCCATCCCTGCCAATGCCGCCTGCCATGTCCCCGTCCTGCTCGTCCTCTGCAACAACGGCGCCCAGCTCGGAGCCTGGCCCAACCGCATCCTTCTGGGGCTCTTCCTCTTCCACTACAGCTACAGGTTCGCCGGGCAAGCGGGTAGAGAGAGAAAGGAAGGAAGGGAGGGGAAGAAGGATCTCCCTTTCAAAGACGTCTTCCTTCCACCTGCCCATTTATTTATCATGTCAGGAGCGAACCAAAACAGTTGTATTGCATACAAACAAACAAACAAACAAAACACAAAGTTTGCAGACTTGGTATTCTATTAAATGTCCTTTGACCAGTAGCTGGCCACTTGGAGTTCCTCTGGTGTTGCTGCAAGAAGGTCCTCCATTGTTCATGTGGCAGGGTTCAGGTTGCATTGCAGTAGGTGGTCTGTGGTTTCCTCTTCTCCACACTCGCATGTCGTGGACTCCACTTTATAGTCCCAATTCTTAAAGTTGGTTCTGCATCCCATGGTGCCAGAGAGCAGTCTGTTCAGCGCCTTCCAAGTCGCCCAGTTTTCTGTGTGCCTGGAGAGAGTCTCTCATTTGGTGTTAGCCATTGATTGAGGTTCTGGGTTTGAGCCTGCCACTTTTGGACTCTCGCTTGCTTCAGTGTTCCAACAAGTGTCTCTGTATATCAGGGGTCCTCAAACTTTTTTAACAGAGGGCTAGGTCACAGTCACTCAAACTGTTGGAGGGCTGGATTATAATGTGAAAAAAACATAAATAATTTCCTGTGCACAATGCACATCTTATTTGTAGTGCAAAAACACTTAAAACAATACAATAATTATAATGAAGAACAATTTTAACAAATATAAACTTACTGATATTTCAATGGGAAGTGTGGGCCTGCTTTTGGCTGATGAGGTAGGATTGTTGTTGTTGTTGTCTGCTTTCAAGTAATTTCAGACTTAGGTTGACCCTGAGCGAGGGCCGGGTAAATGATCTTGAAGGGCCATATCTGGCCCCCGGGCCTTAGTTTGAGGGCCCCTGCTGTAGCTCTTAGAAAACTATTTCTTGATTTAAGTCATTTGCATGCTGGCTGATACACAAACAGGGGGTGGGCCAGAGATGTTACTGCCTTGGTCCTTTCGCTATTGGTTGCTACTCCCCGATCAAAGAGCATTCTGAACTCCACCATCTTGGAATTGAACCAACTTGGCACATAGAACTCACCTGACCGACAGAAAATACTGGAAGGGTTTGGTGGGCATTGATCTTGAGTTTTAGAGTAGTAGTCCACCTACACCCAGAGAGCACTGTGATGGATCTGGACCAAACTTGGCACGAATACTCAATATGCCCAAATGTGAACACTGCTGGAGTTTGGGGAAAATAGACCTTGACATTTGAGAGTTGTGATTCCTGGGATTTATAGTTCACCTACAATCAAAGAGCATTCTCAACCCCACCAACAATAGAACTGGACCAAACTTCCCACACAGAACCCCATGATCAACAGAAAATATTGGTTTTTTTATGGTCTTTGGTGACCCCTCTGATACCTCCTTCATGACCCCCCCCCCCCGGGGGTCCAGACTTCAGGTTGAGAAACAAGGTGGTAGTATATTCTATCTATTGTGACATAATAATATAGTACACTGTAATAATATATAATAATTGTATATTGTATATTACATCTGTCTACAAAGATATTGCCCAGGGGATGCCCGGATGTGTAGCAGTCCTGTAAGGAGGCTTCTCTCATGTCCCCCTAAGATCTACAGAGATACTTGCAGGAACACCTGAGCAAGTGAGAGTCCAAAAGTGGCAGGCTAAAACTCAGAACCTCAAGCCATGGCTGATACCTAATGAGAGACTCTCTCCTGGGTACACAGAATATTGGATGACTTGGAAGGCGCTTAACAGAGTGGCACCACAAGATGCAGAGCCAGCCTTAAGTAGTGGGGCCAAAAAGTGGAATCAATGACATCAAGTGTGGAGAAGAGCAAACCACAGACCATCTATTACAATGCAGTCTGAGCCCTGCCACTTGCACAATGGAGGACCTTCTTGCAGCAACATCAGAGGCACTCCAAATGGCCAGCTACTGGTCAAAGGACATTTAGTATAAAGCCAAGTTTTTTAAATACATTACAACTGTACCCTCGGTTTGCTTCTGATACGATAAAGAAATATATTACATGCAATATTACTAATAATTTTGCAGTATAGTGGTTAGGACAATATGGTAATATATAATAATATTGTGCTATGCTAATAATATATTACATATACATATAATATTGATAATAATATAATGTAATACAGTATAATGCAACATAATAATATAAAGGTAAACGTTTCCCTTTGATATGTAGTCAACCCCTGTTGAGGATAGCCATGTGAATCCCAGTGATGATGAATCTGGCCCAGACTTGGCACATATATACACATAGTTAACTTAAAATATGCCAGGGTTTTAGGATATTCATGGGAGTTGTAGTTCACCCACATCCAGAGAGTACTGTGAACCCCACTGACAATGGATCTTGCCCAAATCCGGCAGATACAATCAGGCATTTTCTAGTGGGACCATACAATCCGACAAGGGACAATCACTATTTCTAATTACCCAATGCAATACTGTTCCATTATCCGGACAGACTCCAAAAGGGGACCTAGACAGAGAACGATAGTCCATTTTATGGGTGGTAAGGCAGAAGATACAGGTTTGAGTTTTAAAGGATGCTAGAGTTTTCATGGAGAAAAGAGAACGGATATGGACTTGACCATATATGGGAAACAAAGACAGGTTTTGGTGCCAAAGATAAGTTTTTTGTGCAAGGGTGAAGTATCGGTCAGGAGACAATGCTGACTTTGCAGAGTCTCCAGCTGTATCAGCATCTTGAGATGTTTCCAAAAAGGGCTTGCTTATTGAGAAGCGAAACCTAAAAGTGTATGATCTAATTGCTTAACATAAATATAATATTGACAGCTTTCTTAACCAATGATTTAATCTTTGGGGCGGCTCTTAAAGCCGAACCCCTTTGCATGTATAAAAGAAACACTAACCCTTTGTGCTGGGTGACTTCCCCAGAGACGTCCCGTTACGTCGGAAGTCATCTAGCA